TTAAGACCCAAAAAATCCTCACACCTTTCAAGATTTCGTACTAACATGCTCAATGCATCTCGTCGTCCTTGAAATCACGAAGCTTTTTAAATATGGTATGTGGAATGCACGCACAGCACGAGAAAAGTGATCTTGTATTCTGAAGAAGCAGGCTGTACAACCACGCAACAATTATTCACCGCTCGCTCGGAAAGTTTTACGTCAAGCCCAGCGAAAGAGACAGGGAAATTAGCATATTCAGTTAACGAGAGATTTGGGGTCGTTTGCGGACAGCCGCGAAATAACATTCCGCCCAGCGAAAGTGACATTACGACACTGTCCTGACAGACTGACGCCTTAAATATCCATAAACAGCGACTAAGCATCAAAAGAGATGAGAAGAAGATCATGAAATATGCAGTAGGACAATAACTTTATTAAATAAACGGATACATCGACTTTACTCGCAGCTTAACAACGCTGTCGACTGTAAAGAATCGAATGGCTGGACGATTAATGAATCGGGAAGGAAATGGAAGAAGCTGTTGTGGACGATCTGAAGGCAAACTTCGAGGTTTTCCCGGTGATCAGTAATCAGTGATCACCCCGGCACTTAACTGGAGGGACTGAGAAAAACCGCGTCAGATAGCCAGTCTCCGATTACAGATCTGAACCCAGGACTTCCTAAATACAAATCGGGAGTACTAACCACGGTGCCACGATTTTTATTTAAACATAAACAAAACGATGAAAGAGACATAATTAAAGAACAAATCTAAACCACAAAGAGAAACATGAAGAATGAAAAGAAGAGAATGGAGGGACACGAGATAAATACAGATGGGTAAAAAGAAAGAAACAAAAACATACGAGTGGTTTAAAAACAACGAATAACGAGCAACGAGACGTTCAAAATTACCCGAATAACTCAAACCTGGAGTCACTCACCGTCCATCCATCACCGGGAATTTCTGCTGCCTCGAAACCCTTCCATTCCGCGACATTTAAACATAACAGAACAAGACGCACGGCGCTGGTTAATCATCACCCGCATAAAACTTGTGATGCGCGGGCTTCAAGCTCTCATTTTAAATCGGTACGCCTTATTATGCCGTGGCTTTAGAATCCGATCGGTTCACCGGACACGCCAAAGAAACCTTTATTGATCATAAAAATTTAGTAATCACGCTTGGCGTGTCTTTGGCTCTCCTTACCCCATTCCACCCCCATGAGATCTTAACTTCTGGGGTTTCCGACAACGAAACCCCCGCGAAAGGCGAAGATGCGTTGTAATGCGATGTTATAAAATGGCGCGCGCCTGCCTTAACAGCGAAAATTACACCACGGTCGCTTTACTTACACTGAAACACTCCTGATCTCTGGTGTTCATTCTGTGAATCAGTGAGGCCTCATCCAACAACGGAATTAATTCATGCGTTGTTGGAACCATGGCTACAACATTGTGACCTAACCTCACTGTTTCAGATTTGGAAAAAAAAAAAATAATAAAGAAAGTATTTTCTTTCCTACGAATATTTTTAGAACCAACAGCAAATCTATCAGCTACCTCAGTGTTTAAATGACGTCACAATGCTCACCTTTCCTCGGCTTCTCGCTGATCGGTTCACTGTCTCGCTCGCTGCCGGCACCTTCTCCTTCTCGATCCTCTTCCTCTGGCGTCGGGGCGTTGATAGACAACTTGTGGCACACCTCGAACGCCTGCCCCACAGTGCGCACAATACGCATGGCCTGGCTCTGAAACAGCAGACCACGAGGTTCTAAGTCTTTCGTGCAGAACAGCGGTGGGTATTCGGAGGTCCAGGACCCTCCCTTACATTACGCGCATCGTGTAAAGCGGATTCAAACTTCCATGTTTGCTTGCGCTCAGTTTAAACCGGGGCGCGGATGTCATGGAGACGTTCAAGTAACGGGAACACGTATACTGGACGCAAAATATCTGCGAGCCTGGGATACGTAACAGTGTGAGAGTGGGGCAGCAGGGGGCTGTCACATCTCATCTCTCCCCGCACACGGCTGGCCACCAAAGTTCGTATTTGTAATGGTCAGAGAAGCTCGGAGATATTTTGCGTCAAATACATCACGTGGCTAATTTCTTGCTGTTATTTATAAACGGAGTGTTTAGGGGAGGAGGGTAAAGGAGATAGACGTACGAAGGATAAAGAACATAAATTAGAAGAGGAGACGATTAGAAGGATAAATTAAAGAAATTCGAGGGAAATACAGGAGGGAGGCCAAACGGTGGCAAAGGTCCGAAAGGAAGGAGGTTGAGTGATAAATTAAAGGCTTCGACCTAACGAAAAAACCCTCTACCTCCCACAAGCAGCTATCACCAGAACATCGCTGCTAGCTTTGCTGCGCTGCGAGTTCTGAGATGTCTTCGCTCGCCTGGTCTTCGTTTGTAGTATCACAACAATGAACGTCTCTGATGTGACCTTCACAACTATAATTATTACTACCGTGCTTTTTGGAGTCTATTTATGATATAAAATTAACACAGAAACGACGCTATCACCAACAACGAAAAATCGCAAATAGAATCATACACGAGGACATGAAATAATTTGCCAGACCTTCTTCTAAGAGCCTAAGATTTAAAAATTACCCGAGTCACTTATTTTCGAGTCTTGCGGACGTGTTCCACTCATCACTACCGTACAAAGTCAAAATTCCTGAGTTCCACGCACAGAATAAGGAATTTGCACGTAAAAATGGAGCGAACACCTCCGCCGATAAAAAAAACCTACTGCCTGGCCACCCTGTTGCATAAACCGAGCCGTAACGAGCCGAGACAAAATCACTTCCACGTAATGCAGAGGCAAAGTACACTGACGCGGACGATAACACGGAGACCTCTTCGTCATTACTCGATCTGTCACGCGACCGAACACCACAGAATGTCAAGAAGAAAAACTGATGACGGTCAACAACAAATGTTTAGCTGACGATGGTAACTAAATATGGACTACATTTATATGCTATAGCCACATAAAACATATTTGAATTTACATAGATAAAAGGTTAAAGATATTACAACAGCGACTCAGGTGTGTCATTAATCAAAATAAATCAATAAAACGATGGAAATTACCGGTGGTTCTGGGTACAGGGATATTGTGGGCACTCACCTTTACCCCCCGTCTTAATGAATGAGGTTCGGGAGACCGAATAATGAATAAACATTACGTACGGAACACAGAAAACTACGAAGTCCCAGACACACACCCAATAACAAATCAGAATGATACTCAAGGGAAATTAGGAGGAGACTAAATTCCAGTTCAAAATATTTTGTCATCCCGTCTGATTTCTAGGAACCCGAAGATTAAAGAATACAAAACAATAATCTTGCCTGTTGTTTTGTATGGGTGCGAAACATGGTCTCTCACTCAGAGGGAGGAGCACAGATTGCAGGTGTTTGAGAACAGGGTGTTGAGGAGGATATTTGGGCCTAGGAGAGATGACGATGGGGCGTGGAGAAAACTGTATAATGATGAGCTTAAAAATCTGTACTCCTCCCCAAATATTGTCAGGGTGATTAAGTCGAGAAGAATGAGATGGGCTGGGCATGTAGCGCGCATGGATGGGACAAGAGGTGTGCACCGGGAATTGGTTGGGAAACCTGAAGGGAAGAGACCGCTGGGGAGACCTAGACGTAGATGGGAGGATAATCTCAGGCGGGATCTATGGGAGATAGGAGTCGAAGGAGACTGAATTTTGTTGGCCCAGGACAGGGTCCGGTGGAGGGCTTTGGTTAATCCGGTGATGAACCTTCGGGTTCGTTAAGCCATCTAGTTAGTTAGTTAGGATGGCACTGAGGTCTTTTAAACAAATACTTTACGGGCTTATGTTCATTAGCACAGACTTATTGCAAAAAACCCTGTCTACTAAATTATCTTCATGTCACCCTATTTTATTTTTATGTCCGGTTTAACGACACTGTCAGCAGCTGTAATCTCACTACACAGCGTTGAATGACAGAATTATGAACAAACAATAGGAAATTATATTGGCCAAATTTAAGGTACTATCTCGTAATTTGCCTGGACAGTCTGGGAAAAAAGAACGGAAAGACGTCAGAATTGCCGATCTTCAGGTCGAGATTTTTACCTTGTCGTCGCTAAGGTACTATATAATTTAATAATGCATGGAGCGATTTATGTCATCCGCTTCACAACAGATTTAATGCACATGGCCATCACCACGCGATGCCAAGGCTAGGCGTAATGTTACCGAAGCGTGGTGCAAAATCCATTCGTTTTCAGAACTTCAATTTAATTGAACCATAACACAGAATTCATACTGCAAAAAAAGTTTTGTGTCAAGGTCACATTAATTTATTCTGTGGGGAAAAAAAATTAGAGTTGAATTCGTGTTTCACGCAAGGCAGCAATTCAAACCGACGAAGAAAGCCACGCAGCTACGTTAAATTGGCATCGAAATCCGCCGAGAAGTTTCAATGACAAAACACGAGAGTGGACGGACGGACGGGCATTCATTTTATGAACTCTGCCCGATTTGCACCCGCGACATCATGCCACTGCGTGGTATAGAAACACACACAAGTCCATTAATCAAGAGCGGGATTCCCTTATCATTAATCAATCGCTGCGGTAAGGGTCTAATGCCTCTAATACCAAAGCAGACCATCAGACTCATTTCATCCACCTCCAATCTTCACAAGACCTTAAGATCAATCTTTACGAGGTGCGATCGGAAAGTTTCAAGACTGTGTCAATAGAGGGCGAACCGGATGTAGTACGAGCTTCTGCCGCTAGGGGGTGCGGCCTACATTCATAGTGAATCAGTGTGCCAGCCGGCATCATCGAATTAGCATTTGTTTCTTAGTTACGGGCGTTTTGGTAGTGCATTACACCGACCCTCCTGCGATTTCGGAATGGCGCGTGTGCATCAAATTTTGCCAAAGACTCGCCAAAACGGCTAAGGAAACCTATGAAATGCTAAAGCAAACATTTGGGGAGTCCGCAAACTTTTGTGTGGCATTCACGTTTTAAAAAGGGCCGGCCGAACCTCTGTCGATGATGACGAGCGTTCTGGACGACCATCTTCGAGCACAACGCCCGAAAAAGTTACGAAGATCGACGTCGTACCATCAACGACCTGTGCGACATTGTTGGGATAGGCTATGGGACCTGTCAGCTGATTCTAAAGGAAGAACTCCACATGCGACGCATCGCAGCCAAGTTTGTGCCAAGGCTCCTGTCTGAGGACCAGAAGCAGAATCGACTTCTCGTTTGTCAGGAGCTCAAAGATCTTGCAAGAACCGACCCCAACTTCCTTTCTAAGCTCCGTGTGACTTCTTCCTCTTCCCAAAGATGAAAATTCAGCTAAAGGGAAGGAGATTTGAGACGATAGAAGAGATTCAGGCAGAATCGCAGATGGTGCTTGACAGGCTGACAAAGAAAGATTTCCAGGGATGCTTCCAGGCTTGGCAGCGGCGCTGGGATCGTTGTGTTCACTCCTCCTCGGTCTACCAACACGACGTTTTACAAATGTTTCACCAATAAAATTGCGATTGCATTCAGTATCACCAACCCAACGTATAAACTCCTAGGTGGCATCCTAAAAACAAAAGTGCATCATTAAGTAACAGGACCCATCCAAAGTCAGGCCACTCCACGGACCTCGTCCGTCTCAGTCGCAAAAATTTCTCTGGCAAATTTTTCAGACACTCGCAATTTAGGGGCTCTGAGCCTCACCCAGAACTGGGGCATCAGTTTACCTTTATCGGCTCGCGGACCGGAATGCTCTAAACCAGGGCAATTTATTGGGATGCCGTGACAAATTGTGTTAGAACGCCGTTAAATAAGGCCTGCTGCTGAAAAAAATGTTCGCACAACTTTTCACAGAAGGTCGAAATTAAGTGTCCCGAGCTAAAGTCCAGATGAAGATGGTTTCTGCAGATCGGAAACTAAGCACGACAAAAGAACGTCGCGAATAAGAGACTAGAGGGTCAAAGGTAACAGACACGGAAACTGCCTGGGTTGTAGTCTCGGTGAAGATGCCGGGTTTAGGGATAACTTCTTCTATAATATTCAACGATACATCGAAATGTTAAGCTCTCAGGCAAGAAAGCTTCACAAGAAATTGGAAGCATTTGTCGAATTTTTCCAAACTGTAACACTCCAGAAGGCTCTCTGCTAGTCTTCAGTGTAAGAAGTCCTACGGCCTGGAACCAGAGGACGCAGAAAAGAAACTCCCAATATCAAAACCGGGCATTAGTGTCAAAAACACAACACTTACACATTCACTTATCAAAATAAAGCTGTGTCAGCTCCACGAAACAGAGTCGTAACTTACAGACAGACAATCGCTTTGTGTTCCATAAAAGGCGACTAATTTAGAAACTGCTTCCATATTGCCACTTCATGTCTCTCGCATCCAAATATTCTGCTCAGCGCTTTGTTTTCGCCTACACCCCACCTCACTCTTCATCGGCGTCTGTTTTTTTGGCTGTGACGCCGTGTGGATTTGTAAGGAGATACCAGCATTTCGGAGGAACGAATTCATTTTCGGAATTAAGCATTGAAGAAGGAGGCAAAATGTCCCTCCGAAACGTTGGTATCTTTGAACATGGTACTACACCCAGAAGAAAAATGTGAATAGTATCGCTGTTAAATCCTAACACTTCAGACATAAATGAGTTCCTGAACTTTGGACATTAACCAATTATATACGATCTCTTCTGATGTGACGTGCGTGAAATCACGTGATTA